TGAATTGGCTCCCACTAGCTGGGAGCATAGGTGCACCCCACCATGCCTGAGTCTACAGGGTCTTGGTCTATTTCTCATCCTGGCTATGAGCTTCCAAATGAGATTTTAATTATTTATTTATTTATTCATTTTCCTTTTTGCTATAGGATGCATGTGTTTGCCAGAGAGAAAGAGAAAAATGAGAAGCATCCCCAGAAGGGATGGCCATGCCCCAATTCCTTCGCCTCCATTCTCCTCTTGGGATTTTGGGGTATGCACCCACATCCACCTGGCGTGTTTTTCAGGCTGCTGCGTCCGGAACTCGGACAGTGCAGTCCTCCACGTGGGATTCAGCCGCCTTAGCCACCGCACCGCCAACTGGTGAGGTAATGCCTAGATGTCTTCCGGAGAGTAACTCATTTGTGCCTGTCCCCTCATACGCTAATTATTTGCAGCTATTAAGTTTTTGTTTTAAAAAAGAATGAAGTCACTCAGAGGGTAACAAAATCATCCTTCCAGTTTCTTCTATTCATTTAGCCTTTTGTTCTTCCTTATCTTGTAGGGTGTTCTCTGCTCTCTATGGGGATGGCCAGACGTATTATTCAGGGGAACGAAATCACCGCGTCCCTTTGCTCTTCCTTTTTCTGCAGTGTATCAGTAGTCCAGTCATACTTCATTTACTGGGCGAGGATTGAATCGTCTGTCGTGTCTCAGCTGACACACAGCAGAGCCCGTTCTGACACTGGCGCGGAGCCCGGGTCACTGATGCCCCTCCCTGGACAGTGGCTGGATGGTTTTGAAGGAAATGCCCCAGGTATAGCCTGCTGCTGCATTTGCTAGCCTCATTGCCTCATTGTCATCATTATTTTTACTGTGGTCTATTTTCTCTTATAAGTTACCCCTGCCAGTTTCCTGTCCCTGCAAAACAAGCAATAAACACCTGTCTGGGCTGACGGCAGCAGTTCTTGGGGACGTGGTAACATGACAGCGAAGAGGAAGAGAAGGCTTGCCGATGCTTCGTGCATTGCAGCAAATACACTTTGTTTGGCTCAACCTAACAAATTAAGTTGGGCCCTGGGGTGGACAGTCAGAGCTGTGGTGTGCAAAACTGAAACACACACATACCTCCTGCCCCTGTATCGACCAGTTGTCACAAGATTCCAGCTCTTTTCCTGAGTCCTTCTGAAACTTCACAGGAGCACAAAAAAGAAATGAGTATTTTTGGTTTACTTTTTTCTCATTTTTTATTAAAATTCATCCCCCGCCCCCTCCCTTTTTTTTTAATTTTTAGAAGTTTTTGTTATAGAGTGTGTGCACTTGCCAGAGAGACAGAAAGCAAGAAATCATCCCCCAAGGGGATGGCCATGCCGCAATCCCTTCTCATCCATTCTTCTCTTGGGATTTTTGGGCACACACACACACATGCTTGGTATGAGTTTCAAGCTGCTGGGTTCGAGACTTGAACCATGATCGACCACATGAGAGTCTGGTACCTAACCACACACCAACTGCTGGCCCCCATCCTGTTTTTATTGCTACTTTCTATGGTAGGTAGATGACTCTCCGCGGCCTGACTGGAGAACAGAATCAGGAATAAGAGCCTATTTCAATGGGGTGGACTTTTCCCTAACACCCTACATGACCGTATATTCCACTGGCCCTTGGATTTCTGAAAAAAGAAAACAACACAGAACCACAACAAAAACTAAAACTAGCTACATTAGATGAAAAGTTCTCGGGGACATGGAGCTCATTTTCATTATTCACTTAAGTGCTCTGAACAGATGCACTCATAAAGACATCCAATCGAACATGGCCGTGTTGGGATTACGATGCAATATTTGCATAATTTATTAAGTAAAACCTAAGACTTCAAACAGATGTTGAGTGTGCAGGGTCTTTAATCCATTTGATCCCATTTTCCTTTATTCTTTTTTTTCCTTTATTCTTTGCTAACTTGTTAAGGCCAGAATCCAACTGGATCCTAGCAGACCCAGGCACACAGGTAACAGGGTGAGAAGGGGACACCTTGCTTTCTCTGCCTTTGCCCCAGACCTTTGTCCTCTCCCATCTCCCAGCATAACTCCTCTGACCTTCCCACCAGGATAGTCCTAAAAGCAAAGGAGAGCTCTCAAGATCCAAAAGTGTGGCCTGAATAATACCTTGTACACCCACCCAACATTTGCTTGAAGTCTCATGTTTTATTTTGATTTTAAAAAATTATTTTATTGAACTTTATTTTATTTACTTATTTATTTCATTTTACCAGCGAGGGGCAGAGTGTGTGTGAAAGAGAGAGGGAAAGTGAGAAAGCAAGCTGCCAGGTCCGGGACTCAAACTGTATGATTAGCCATGTGGGAGTCCAGTGTCCGTAACCACCACGCCACCTGCCGGCCCTAAAGTCTTGTGTTTTATTTTATAAACCATGTAAATGTTGCCTTCTCGTCCCAAGCATAGCCATGTGTGTTTTACTATGGATATAAATGAAACTGAGGCTTCAGGAAGAAGCATCAAATCGAGCCTTAGCCTCTCTGATGCATGTCCCCAGGGGTCATAGACCGCAGTCTGAACAAGTGACAGGGTAAACTCTTCCTCACACTCCCACAGGTAAGCTCTTACAGCTCTAGCCTGTCTTTCTGTCCATTCCTCTATGCAGACCTTAGAAGTTCACAGAGAAAAAAGAAATAGGTTTGTGTGTGCTGAGAGGTGTCATCCTGTAAAGCGAAATCAATTTCTTAACTGGAAGAAGACTCAGCAGACAAAAGTAGACTATAAATTTTCAAAGTTGGGGAACTAGTCTATTGTATTTCTCAGTTTTATCTCCCAACAGAACTGTGGCACACTGGGGTCCTGCCTCACCCTATTAGCTATAATCTACTTATGTATCTCCATGTATTCCCTATGTCGACTCCTCAAACTGGGCTGTTTCTCATGCTTGGTCTATCATTCAAGGTGCAGTTCAAATATATCCTTTATGAAATTTCCCCCATACTTTTTAGTAAGCAGTTTGGTAGGCAAGTGTCTTAGACCACTCAGGCAACTGTAACAAAATCCTTTCGACTAGGTAATTTACAAGCAATGGGAATTTCTTGCCCACAGTTCTGGAGGCTGAGAAGTCCAAAATCAAGGTTCCAACAGATTTGGTGTCTGGCAAGGGCTTATTTCTCATAGACAGTACCTCCTGTGTTCTTCACCTGGCAGAAGGATCAAATAAACTCCCTCAGGTCACATTAATAAGGGCACAAACCCCATTCACTGGGGCCCTGCCCTCATGACCTCATCACCTCCTAAGCCCCACCTCTTAGTACTAGTGCATTGGAGATTAGGTTCCAACATATAAATTTAGGGGAGGGGACACATTAAAACCAAAATAGCAAGCACAATTGTTTCATTAGTTCTGGCATTGAAGTGGTCATTGTGTTATAATGTATATGGTTGGGCACAGAAGAGTCTCCCAGATTTTGAGTGTAGGGATAATAATTGCAAATTGGTATTTCCTCTGCACCTCCACCAACCATATCAGTGCCCAGCATGTGGTGGGTCTGCAGGGAATATCTAGTGCACGTATGGTTCAGGCAGGAACTTGAAACTGTCTCTTTACCATGTTCTGTGTGACTAGGATCTGCTGTTTTGTTCTTCACTTCAATATTCTAGAAAAATAAAAACATTGTATGTGTTGGACCCACAGCCTGATAGTTGAGGTGATCCCACATGGCCTACCATGGTTCAAATGCCAATCCTGGTGATTTGAGAACTGGGCCATGTGTGCAGATGTGTGACCGGGACCCTGACAGGATTGAGAATGGAAGAAAAAAGGACTACAGTGTGACCAGGCTATGATGGATTACTTTCTTGCTTTCTCTTCCTCTATTTCTCTCTTGTGGGCACACATGCACCGTCTAAAAACAAAAAGAAAAAAGAAAAAAAAAGGTGGGGCCTTTGAGAAGAGGTTAGTGATAGGGTTGATAAGCAGGATTCTTCTCCCTATGATTGAGTCCCGGTGGGTTTGGAAGGAGAGGGAGTGAGAGAAAGAGACTGACATGGGACTCAGGTGACACTTTCTCCCTGCACACAGCTGCCACTCTTCCTGCCTCTCTTGCCCATGTTTTGATATAACCAGCCCAGGTCAGCCTCATGGCTTTGGACTTTTCAGTCAACCATGAATCAAACCTCTTCTATTTCTAAGTCATCCAGTCTCAGGTATCTCTGTTGACAAGGTGGTCAGGGACCAAGACACCCTGTGAGTATCACTGTATCAATCAATCCAGGGACGGTGCTCTCACTCTCTCCTATCGGTGTCTTTTTGGCCTCTGCTTAGCCTTCAGCTCTCCCACTGCTCTTCTGGAGACGCCCACAGATGTCTTTGCTCTTGTCCTTACTGGAGCCACAGAAGAGGACAACCAAGATCCTTTCCCTGCCGGTATTGGGGCAATGGAATTTCCTGGAGATGCAGAGACTCTGTTCCAGCCATCTTTACATACAACTGCAGGTGGCAATGGGCAGCAACCCAGCAGGGATGACAACCCAACTCTAGAACCATCCCTGGATGCTCATGGGGTAGAGAGGCTTGTGGTCCTCAGGAGCATCTCCTCAGAGGGCTTTGCTTCCAGCTCCAACATTCATCACAGGTAACAGGTGATGAGAGGGCCAACAGGTGATGGGACTAGGTTAAACACTGTGTACTTGATTTAGAGTCTGACAAAAAAGATCTCAGCCATATTTATTCTTAAGTGTATTAAAAGCCCTGATTATAGAAGGGTACCAGTCAAAAAGGCTGAGTATGATAATCATGAAGGAAAATTGTACTTTCCTGGATGGGGTAAAGTCTCTGGGATGCTGCTATAAATAGAATAAAACTAGATTTTAGTATTTAAAATATACTTATTATATTATATATTGGGCCATTGGAAAAGTCATAATGTATTTTTCTGTTTCACTTTTTTCTTTTTTTTTTTTGGAGAGTTTTTGTTGTTGTTGTTTTTGTTTTTGTTTTGTTTTTGCTATAGGGCATGTGCATTTGCCAGAAAGACGGAGACAGAAAGCAAGAAATTAACCCCTGGGACAGGTGATGGGACTAGGTTAAACACTGTGTACTTGATTTAGAGTCTGACAAAAAAGATCTCAGCCATATTTATTCTTAAGTGTATTAAAAGCCCTGATTATAGAAGGGTACCAGTCAAAAAGGCTGAGTATGATAATCATGAAGGAAAATTGTACTTTCCTGGATGGGGTAAAGTCTCTGGGATGCTGCTATAAATAGAATAAAACTAGATTTTAGTATTTAAAATATACTTATTATATTATATATTGGGCCATTGGAAAAGTCATAATGTATTTTTCTGTTTCACTTTTTTCTTTTTTTTTTTTGGAGAGTTTTTGTTGTTGTTGTTTTTGTTTTTGTTTTGTTTTTGCTATAGGGCATGTGCATTTGCCAGAAAGACGGAGACAGAAAGCAAGAAATTAACCCCCGGGGGGATGGCCACACTGCAGTCCCTTCTTCTCCATTCTCCTCTCGGGATCTTGGGCATGCATGCACATGTGACCAGCATGAGTTTCAGCCACCGGGTCCAAGACTCGAACCACGGTCGTCTACATGGGAGTCCAGTGACATAGCCATTACACCAACTGCTGGTCCCTATTTTTCTGTTTTTCTATGCAAAAATGCATCATGACTTTTCCAATGACACAATAAAGATATATTTTATGTAAAAGAATATAACTATATATAGCATTTGGTGAATTCTTTGCTGCCATCCTCACTCACCTCTCCCACCATTTTTCCTTCTGGCCCTTGGCTCCAACTTGAGTTTTTCCAAGAAAATTCTATTTCATCAGTATACAGAACAGTGATAGGAAGGACTGCTTTTTGATCAAATACTTAGTGACCCCTTCTCAGCTATTCCATTCTTCCTTTAGGACTCAGGATGAACCAAGCTTTGATTCATTAGAAACTTGCCTGTTATCAGATAGGGATGAACAGGTAAGAGTCTGAGTTGTGAATGGGGGTTGAGTTTGGTGTTTTGATGAGTCAGAAGTTCCAGGATGGGAAGTCAGAGCTATTAGCCTGGTAATCAAAGTCAGAGAGAAGCAGGTGAGGGTATGATATACACACAATGTCTTTCTACTAATCAATAGTAACCTTTCCAGTATATACAATGTCTCTGAAGTTATCAGCAATCGTAGAGATTGATGGTTTTAGTGATTCGTTGTCCTGTTTAGCCTTGGCTCATAATTTCTCTCTTCTCTCCTCTATGCCTCCTTTATAACGTTGACCTCAAAATACCATTATGGTCCCAGAGGTTAGATCAATGAGTGATATAAAATATACATGCCCACTTGTTTATTATTCTTTTGAAATCTTGAAAGGAACACAAAATAAAAATGGTATAATAGTCTTAAATTTATCAGCATCTACAAGAAAATTAAATGGTCTCTCTTGCATGGGTCCTACCATAAAAAGACACTTTCAAATCTTTCAACCATCGGAGATGACACAAGCATCTGTATTGGTTTGAAGACTTCTTAAAGGATCCTCAATTTATTCTCGTAACTGGCCTTCACACTCTCTGTGGAGTTTCCATTAGCCACCCATCCCTATCAGTAAGTGCTTATTTATCTACGTAGGCATTGCGCTCTGAGTTCCAAGCAGGCAAGAAGGCTGGATTTTTAGCTGCTGCAAGGGGATCTTTAAGGAACATAAGTTAGTTGCAAAGTTCATTGGCAACTCAAGGTGAAGACCAGCCCCTTGACTTTCCTTTTCTCTTTGTTTCTCTAGGATAAGAGGGAAACCTCTAACAGGACGGTGACACAGCCATCTCTCTTTACTGTACATCTTACCTATCCTCAGCACCTCTGGTCATCTGAAGCATCCACTGGGTATTGGGCTGGAGTGACCAGCCCAACCCCTACCTTTCATGCCTCTGGCACATCCAGGCTACCTGCTGCTGGTGACCAGTCAGAGGAATCAAGGCCCTCTGCCAGCTTCTTACCTCAGTCAAAGCACAAAGATGCTAGAGTGGGGAAGGTAAATGGAAATGGTGGGGGTGGATACTCTAAGAAGACCAACCCAAGGCCTGTAACTGGGTCAGAGGGAGCCAGTGTCCCTTCGGGGATCCAGCTCAGGACTCCCCAGCTGGGAACCCTACTTTGCCTGTCAGCCATCCTGGGCATGGCCCTGGCTGCTGGTCTTCGCTACCTGCATATTCAGTATTGTCACAAGCGGAGGGACATGACCTTCAGGGAGCCTGCTGCAGATGCTGTTGCCAGTAGTGACTGTGGTGAGACAGTGCATGTCAGGAATATTGGGGAGAGCCATTTTGTTTTGGTTCAAGCAGAATACAACTGGATCATGCCTTCTGTGGGTAGCAAGAAAACAATCCTGTGAGAAGAGAGGACCATCATACCAGGTCTCTAGGTGGCCTTCCTTAGACCCTGTAGAGTGTCTCCATCAGAACCAAGCTAATGAGAATACATGATGAGACTAGGGATTCATGCTGCTTCCCATCAGTGTGCAGTTACTGGAGGAAGCAGTGAAAGGGCAGTTTTATCAACAGAGGGAGTTCTTCCCAAGCTTTGTTGTCTTAACATCTGTAATTTAGTTTCTTTTCTTTCTTTTTGCAATTAGATGTTCTGTTTGAAGAGTTAAACTCAACACAATGAATATTGTATAACCCGCTCATTAACTAGACTCCTGTGGCCGCTAAGCTTCCTCTGTTGCCTTAAGGAACCTGCAGAAATAGAAATTCTGTCCCTCCTCGGTGTCTTAGCCTCATCTCTTCTAATTCTTTGGAAAAAAAAAATGTAATGTTGGGGTTTGTCTTTTGCAAGAAAAAGAACTGCCACCTTCACTTTGCCTCTCCAATCCATCCCCAAAGAAGTTTTCTTTTCAAAACTAGCTGGAGTTTGGATGTAAGTCTTCTTGGAAACTCTGCAGCCTGGTAATTCTGCCATGGAAATTGATCCCAGGCAAAAAAGTTTTAGAGAATTTGATTGAACACATCTTTGGGAAAACAAATACATGTAGCACAAAGCCATAAACACTGGAGCGGGTAAGCAAAGCTCTTCATCAGGTGTAAATGGATCTGAGACCTCCTGTCCATTTACACTTGATGGAAAGACTTGGGTATCCCAACAGCTAGTAGACATATTGCCTTCTGCCAAAGGTTGGGCTGAAAATAATTATTTTACCAGCACAGTTTGAAGAAACAGCCTTTACTTGTCTTTTCAGAGATGTCAGGAAAAAAGCATTATGAACAAAGACTATCTGCTCTCACAACTTTATGAAAGTTGGTTTGTTTTAGCAGTGGTTTCCTCGATACCATGATGGGCCTTCAAAAAGTTCACGGAAAAAAAGGGGAATTAAAAGTACAAGTTCATTTGGTACCCAAAAAATGTTGAAATCCCACAGTTTGAAGAAACAGCCTTTACTTGTCTTTTCAGAGATGTCAGGAAAAAAGCATTATGAACAAAGACTATCTGCTCTCACAACTTTATGAAAATTGGTTTGTTTTAGCAGTGGTTTCATTGATACCATGATGGGGCTTCAAAAAGTTCACGGAAAAAAAGGAATTAAAAGTACATGTTCATTTGGTAGAAAAAAATGTTGAAATCCATGCAAAATTTTTTCTTAATGTGCAACTTCCATGTTGAAATCCATGCATAATTTTTTCTTAATATCCAACTTCCACGAACTTTTTGAAGACTCCCCTTTGTCTTCTGTCAAAATTCCAGGTTTGAATAGAACATTTAAATATGCTCAACTTAATATGCATTGAAATTAGTTGCCTTTCAGAGGGAAACCTATGACAGTCATGATTCGTTTTAATGTGAAAACAAAAACTACTACAGATTTGGAAAGGATATTTATTTATTGAATACCTTACTCATACACAGATGCTTCAAAAGTTTATGGAGAGAGAGAATTAAAGTACAAGTTTATTTTGATGCAAAAAATGAAATCCATGCATAATTTTTTCATAATATGTATTTTCCATGAAGACCCTCCATACAGGTCTGTTCTAAGAAATTTACATATATTTTCACATTTAATCTTCCAATAACTTAATGAGGAAGAAGTTCAGTAACTTCCCAAGGAGGGAGAGGCATTCATGACACTTTAATTCAACAACAAAAGGATTTAACAGTTTTTCAGATGTTGGGACCAGCAGTTAGCATAATGGCTATGTTGCTGAACTCCCATGTAGTCAACCGTGGTTCAAGTCCTAGACCCAGTGGCTTAAGCTCATGCCAGGCGTGTGTGCATACGTGCCCAAGATCCCAAGAGGAGAATGGAGGAGAAGGGATTGTTGCATGGCCATCCCCCCTGGGGGGTGATTTCTCGCTTTCTGTCTCTCTGGTGAGTGCACGCACTCTGTAGCAAAAAACTCTCAAAACATTTTTTTTCAGTTATGTGGGGACCAACAGGTGGTGTGGAGGTTAAAATACTGAACTTTCACATGGCTGACAGCAGTTTGAGCCTCAAACCTGGCAACTTGAAAGTCATACCAGGTACATGTGCATGCATGCCCGAAATTCCAGGAAGAGAATGGAGAATAGATTGCACCATGGCCATCCCTCCAGGGTGAGGAGGATGATTTCTCAGTTTCCCTCCTTCTCTTTCTCTCTGGTGAGTGTATGCACCCTATGGAGAAAACCTAAAAAAACAAAAAAAAACAAAACAAAATTAAGATGCATAGGACTGAGACAGCTCGTGCCATTTTCCCACCACCCCTTTAACTCATCAATTCAAAGACTCTCCTGGATTCTAGGCTGGGCAGCTCTGTTCCCTGGCTGCAATCATGAGGCACATGGAGACCTAGGAAGTTTGTGTGTTCACAAATGAAAGTATTCTAGGAGTGCTGCAGAAGAAGCAGATGTATAGTACTCCTGTGGGGAACCACTATATCACTCTTACATACCCAGTTGGAGAACAGGAAATGACTAACCCTGAAATCTGGAGATTTCCCTCACTCTTTTTGGTGCTTTGCAGGTAAGGTAACCCAGGGTAACTTCAGAGACATATGGCCTAGTCTCTGCTACTCTGGCAGGTCAGCAGTCGAATCAGAAGGTACAGTGAATTAAAGTTACCAAAAATCCGTTGCTACTTCTTTGACCTAAAAGTGAAATCTATTGTCCTTCCCTTTGAATAATAAGTTGCTCCTGTGACTTGTAACCACCAGAAAGTGGCAGAGTAAAGCCATATAACCTCCAAAATTAGCTCTTAAGAGATCCATCTTCAGTTTCTGATTTTATGCACTTAGAATACTCCCTCTTGGAACTCAGTCACATGGTGTAAGAAGCCACAAAGAAGAGAATCAGTTTCTACCAGCACCAACTGCTAGTCATGTGAATGAGTCATCTTGGATGTTCAACTCATTTAACAGCAAGTGGAGCAGAAGAATCACCCAGCTGAGCCCAGGCAACTCCAGAATTTTGAAATATAATAAATATACTGATAGTGTTTTGTTTTTAATTTGCCAGAGAGTAATTCTCCTTGCCAGAAAAAGAGAGGGAGAAAACCCATAGGGCATGGTCATGCCATGGAACCTTCTCCTCCATCTGCCCCTCCTTTTGGCATTTTGGGCTCACATGCACATGTGCTCAGAATGTTTCTCGGGCTGGTGGAGACAGGATTTTAACTGCATGGTCAGCTATGTGGGATTGGGCTCCCTTAACCATCAAGCCATGGAGCTGGCCCAGTAGTGGTTGTTTTATACCACTAAAGGTTTGGTATAACTTGTTTCACATTGGTAGACAGACAAAATAGCCTCTCCATATAGAAAAATCTCCTCTTGAACAAGAAAGATCTTCAAGGTGTTACATATGTGGTATGCCTGATATCATTTGGCCACAAAGGTCCCTCATTTGCATTTTAGAGAGGACATCTCTTAGGAAGGTTACATCTCTCAAAGATACCCTGGGTTACCTTACCTGCAGAGCACCAAAAAGGGTGAAGGAAATCTCCAGATTTCAGGATTAGGCATTTCCTTTTCTCCAACTGGGCATCCAGTTCAGGTAAAACAGTGCAGTGTTGCAGGAAACCTAGCCAGATCTCTGAGTCTCAGCTTTGTCATCACAGAGAAGTGGACCACCAAATTATCTACCTCTTTCGGTTGCGAGGATTACATGCATGTACCACACGTAGCTATCTCTAAGTAACTAACCAGCTACACTGACATGCCATTGTTACTAATGGCACCCTCAATCTGGTTCATTTAGAGAAATTCTGTGACCACCAAAAAATGTCATTCTTTTTCCATGACAACCCAGCAGTGCCTCTCCCCACCACTTCCCCAGTCCCAAAACTTTAAGGGTACAGGCCACACTAGTTGTCATGGTAGCCATTGGCTACAGTTTCTGCTGTGTATTGGATATTTTTGCTGCAACATTCTGACTAAATTTTTTTTTTTTTTTTTTAGCTGAAGTCCATAGGCCTGTAGTCAAGCCACATAAACCCCCTCTGTTGCTGTGAGCTTGAAGGTCCGCTAAGCCTGGCTTTAGAGAGCCCCAGATGGTAGTGAGTAGGAAGTGTTAACTTAACCTGAAGGTTCTTACTAAAGCGCAAAGCCATTGAAAGTTTAAAAAGGCAAAGGACTCAAATGCAACATCTTAAAATAGCTCTTTTTTGTTTTGTAGAACAAGCTACAGAACTGCTCAGCCAACATCTTCTTGGAGGAAAGGAGGTTTGGGGCTAAACACATATTTGAAGGAAAATCATGAAAAAAGGATTACTGAAAATTCTTTAGATTTTAAACAAGAGTTTTTACACTTCTGTGCTAATTTAGTAGCCAGAATCAGGGTTAGGGATGGACCTTAACCTTTTCTCTTTTTCTTTCTTTCTTTCTTTTTCCTTCTTTTTATTTTTATGCAGAGGCTCTTTCTGATGTTTTCAATTAATTTTCCACCACAGATATAACAATTTCGGTAAATCACAACTTAAACACTTAACTGTAGCTTGACTGAATTATCTCACTGTTGGGGCTGTCTGAATTAATTTGCTGTTACAATATTTATTTTCTTTGAAAAAAATTCTAATTAACTAAAAGAAAAAAATAGGTCAGCAAGCCAGTAAATATTTAAACAAATGTCACGTTTTATTTGGCAAGTTGTCGGGGAAGGGCTGGTAATTTATGAATAAATTACAGATAATGGTCATACCCTCTCTCTGTCTCACACTTCCGGTATTAGTTGGGATCCCAGCCTTTCTGAAATGCAGACTCTGTGTTTTCATTTCATTTTACCTCAACTTACCCTTCTTAAAGTAATACATGGCAAGGAATTTCTTTCTTTCTTTCTTTCTTTTTTTTTTTTTTTAAAGAAAATGAACTTGTGTTACATTGTTTAATTAAACTTGAAAACTTCTCCATACTTAGATTTTAAAATTTT